GTCCTGTCTCTTCCTAGAAAGACAAGACTGCAACAGTTTTTGGAATGTCCAGTAGCAGTCGCTCTTCTTTCCGCATCTCTAAGATAACTGAGCTTCCAGGGCAGTGTCTATCAGGAGTTTATCTGATAAGTGAACTAACTATGGACAGTAGTAATAGCATCGGTTTTCAAGGTAATATCCCTTTAAACACTGGATATCTGCCTGTTAAAAAAACTGGAGAAGCAGTTGTGTTTAAAAACTGGCACGGAGCTGACACTAATCAGACACCGATACCATCGGTTATTAGAATGCTTATCGTCTCTATGAGCAAATTTAATTTCATAAAACCAAGATGTAATTTGTTATAAGATAGTTAAGTGTCAAAAATATCAGTTTCTGTCGCATTGAAAAGTAATATAGAATAGTGTTTCTTTTATCCTAATATAAAAGAAAAGGCAATGGTTCTAAAAAAAAACATTGCTACCTCCGCAAAAATCTTTGTATGCATGCAGCATAATTGTATGTTTATCACCGCTTTGTAGACTGAAGTAAAGGTTAAAATTATCTAGTTACAAAACTACTAAAAATTACAAATTACTCATAAAAACTACTCAATTACAGTAAGTGGTAGTGAAAGTGAACTCCTTGTCATTGTGACACAGCAGACCACTGCACACACAACCAAATGTGACCTCTGCTTTTAACCATCACCAAAGTGAACAGGGGGGCAGCTCAAGCGCTCAGAGCACCATAGTGGTAACTTGGTGGTGGACTCGAACCTGAATCCTTCCGGACCCATGTCCACTTCCTTAAGCACCAAGCCACAACTGCCCCTGTAACTTGGGTATATACAATTTGTTACATTCCACCTGTGCAACATTACTACCAACTAACTTACTAGTACTGCCCCCTGTTTCTAGCAAGACATGAAGTGGAAATCTGTCTAATTTATTCCACCGTTCCTTTTTGGTTTAAGATCCAAATTGAATCCTAAGGTTTTATTGTAGTACCAATACACATAAAAAATGTTGCAGCACAAGCTGCTGCTTTTATGGTTGAATCTAAAAATCATCCTTTTCTACAGCCAGTCAGAGGGAATTCATTGAATGATGTTAACATTTTTACAATGAACACTTTCACTTGAACTTTTTAACTTCAGGTAAGTGGTTTATAAAGTGGCCATTTGTTTACGTGCAGACTAATAGCCTGTGATTTTGCCCAATGGACTGTTTTTGATTTTTGTGTTAACACACAGCAAGTCTCAGCAATTCCACACTGCCTCATCATTTACCAGCCAAAAGGAAACAATAAGACCAGTAAGAGTGTTTTTGTGGGAAAGCGTTGTCAGAGTTTAGGACCCCACCGTTCTTATTGACCAGCCAAAACAAAAAGATAATGAGAGGCAAATCGACTGGAACCCTCTCTTTTGTACCCCATGTTTCTGAAATCTGCTGAGGTGCTGTTTGTGTTCCCTTTTCATCAGCTGGTTTGCTATAGAAAAACTGAAAAACACCAGCAGACATTCTGGACTATGACCTTTCTGCTGCCTGATAAAAGCCGCTGGAGTGGGTCAGCTGCTGAACGAAACTGGAAATTCATCTTTATATTTTATCAGGCCTTCCTCCTGTGTATGTCACCCACTTGCCGCTTAAGTCTTTGGTAGTTGCAACATTCCTCATTTATAACAACAGCGGAATGTGAAAACGAGGAACAAAAACAGGATTCTGGTGACTCGGTTTTTATGTAATGTTTTCAATGTATTCAAAGGCATAAAAGATGTATGAGGAGAGTACAGAGGAAGTGTGCTGTCTATCCAGGAAATGGTGACTAAGTTAAAAATGAAGTACACAAGATTTATGAGTACTGTATTTTCCAGACTATAAGTCACTCCGAAGTATAAGTCGTACCAGCCAAAAATGCATAATGAAGAAGAAAAAATCATATATAAGTCACTCCGGAGTATAGCTCCCACCATACAGCTAGAGCGCCCTCAAATAACAAACTCAAATAACAAACGTGAAATTATATATTTTAATATATGAGTAGCACCTGAATATAAATCACAAACTCGGCCAAAGGATGAAAAAATTGCGACTTATAGTCCGGAAAATACAGTAATAAAGGCAAAGAGGAATTGGAAATTGAATGTATTTTTTTATAAGTGGCCGGAACCGCACTAAAAACAGGAGTCACATTTGGTTGCTGTGTCACAATAACTAGTAGTTCACTTTCTTTTCTTTTCCTTGCCTTTGATTGCTGTTTACAACTAGTATTGTGAGCAATACTTCCAGTCACATGTCCATGCAGTTCCAAACTGTGTTCCAAATTTTGTTGTTAGTCATGTGAGGGTGCACACATGACGTGCCCCCTGGCCTGCACTCACATTACCCTAAAGGCAAGAGTGCTGAAGCCTGTTTGCCTTCAACACAAATGTCAGTAACTGATGTTCATATTCGATCAAAGCAGCACGATGGAGAGTTCACTTGATTCGTGAGCGGCGATTCGCAGTCAATCATGCTGAATGCATAACATTTGTTGCGGAGGCAGCAGGAAACGTGAGCTTGTACAAATGTGTGGCCAAGTGTACTGTTGTGCTCAAGCACGGTGCACTTGAACTCACACTAGCCATAGAATCCAGACTTTAGGGTGACTAACATGCTTAGCCACAGTACGACTGCCTAAAGTGAGTGCACTTTACGTGTCTCTGTGTGTTTCTAGATGTCAACATGTTCAATGGCATGCTTGTCATTTTTGGGTGGTCTTTTCGCATTACTCAGCATAAATCTCTTTTCATAAGATGACAATGAGTTTCATAGTATGAAAAGCCACACAGCCTAAAAACTTACTGGTACCACCTTGAAAAGTTACATATCAACATATGAAAAAGAGGTGAGACTAGGCGGTAGAGATAGTTTGACGTGATTCAATTATTTGGATCAGTAGAGAGAGACATAAGCAGTCAGCATACCAAAATCTATGATGGAGTAGGGGGCAAGGTGGTATGAATGTTGTCTGAAAGAGCTAGAGTAGAACGTACAGCACTGCTGTAAATGTGTGTATATTCCCACTGTGAATCCCCTGAATGGAGATACTGCTGTTTGTACAACTCCCACGACCTACATACACTACTCTGCCTAACTTTCCTCCGCCGATAAAAACCTGTCATCCTATCTAACTTGCAGCCCCTTCATTTATTTCATACAGAGTCTCCTTGCCTTAGCTCTCTTTGTAATACTCCTACAGTATACTTGCTGGAAAATAACATTTGAAACAGCCTTCTTGAAGGTATTCATTGATGCTTGGGGTTTTACTACATCACTGTCTAAAGCTGCACAGTGTTCTGTATTGCAACGGTCCCCAACCTTTTTAGTACCAAGGACCGGTCGGCCGGTATCAGTCTGAATGACCTGTTGTTTTGAAATATTGCCAGATTATCTTTTAATGAAAACAGTAAAGGGATATGACTGGATTTTTTTGAATGAAGTAAAAAATAGTGTCCCCCTGTGGGACGGTACAAAATGATCTACAGACCCACATCCAGTCCCAGAACCAGGAGTTGAGAACCCCTGCTGCATTGTACACTATGTATAGTTGGAAAAAACTGATGGAAGAGTAGAACATGTGGACCTACGTTTGAACTGCAGGAAAATAAGGATTAACCTTAACGTTCTGGTACAAGTAAGTATGTAGAAGATTATTGTATATACTTCGAAAGTTCCTGTTATGTTAATTGGTTGAGTATTTGTTTGCATTGTCATAATTGAAATCTCTGCAGATTCTCCTGACCTCAACAGTAGTTTTATGCATCCTCCTGCTGCAGTGTCATCCTCAGACATCTTGTCTCGCCTGATGATTTAATTGCCTTTAAGCTTTGAGAGCCATTTAATTACTGTCATTATCATCAATGAAAAATTACCAGCTCCTAAAGATAGCAAAGTTAATTAGGCTTCAAGAGACAGAGAGTTTATATATTTATCTGTGGAAGATATCTGTGAGAAAGAGACCTTGATGTTTCTTCTGTTTTAAATTATACTTACTTACTACCAGTACATTTACACATCAACTCATGTTCTTATATCAATATTTAAAACATTTTTACCACAGTTTTAACTGCACGTTTGATAACAACATTGGTTACAAACCAGCACGTTTCAGAGTTTTTCTTCCATATTGAGAAAGAAGTGGATAACAAAAATTAAAGATGAAGTGCTAAAAGGCTGCTAGCCTTTACTTCAAAATTAAAGATGAAGTGCTAAAAGGCTATTAGCCTTTACTTCGCCATCTATTCGGGAAATTCAGGCATTGCAGGGAAAAGGCAGATGTGTAATGATAGTATAACTTAATAACATAATTTAGACAAATTTGGTGGGCCGGATTAAAAAGCCAAACGGGCCGCATTCAGCCCCCGGGCCGTAGTTTGCCAATGTCTGTTCCACACAGTGACATTTTGCTGCCCTCGGAATTGGAGAAATTCAGATTACTTTATAAACTGGAATATAATTAATATTATTAAATAAGCATTTCCAATTAAAATAGACAACGTAAACACATGCACACATCCATACTGACTCCCTCAACTTTATATTTAAATGACAGTATTCAACTGAAATTATGACATACTGTATATTGGCTTTGTTGCTCATGTAATAAGAGTCCATAAATTAAAGAACTTAACAGAAATTAATTCTAGGTCATCCTTATAGTTTTGGCACTGCACACCTTATTTAAAATAAAATCTAGCTGATGTCACATACTTGAAGGCCTTGAACTCTTAGATTTTCTGAAGTTTGTTATTTTGTGTTTTTTATATTTATATTTACCAGGAGTTTATTTGAGACCCTTCCACAACTACAAATCAGACAAGACCTTTAAATAATCACTGATTCTAAATGTTGGAGCTGCAGGATAAAAACAAATCTGCACCGGGTGAGATAAGGTGGCTTCAGAGCCAAACATAAACAGGTGTTAAAGTGGATAAATGCGATGAGAGATTAAGACAGAATAGATAAAAGGCTGCTTACTTCTTGGGAGGCACCTGTCCTACGTTGACCCGCACACAGATGACTTTACGGGTCTGCATTCCCATGGAGCAGGAACCCTGAGGGCCCCCAGCGGAGGTGTTGGGGGTGAATGAGGAGGAGTCTTCCGTGCATGGGCCCCAGGGTCCAGTCTGCCAGTGGTAAACCGTACAGGCGTGTTCGTTACAATTACGTACTTCCTGAAGAGTACTGCTGTTTGGGCAGAGAGCACCGCCTAAAAAACAATAACATTTAGCCAGAGAGAGTTATTGATCAAATGCTTTGATAAAATAAATCAATAATAACCAACATGTCCTAACAGTAATGTTGCACAGTGGATGGTAGATTAAAAAGAACTTAATTACTGCAGATAATCACAGAAACCATTAAAACAGCGGTCTACCATCAAGGCCAGCAAGATCTTCTCTGCTGGACTACACAGTACCAGAATCAGTCTTATTGTTCAAAATTCTTTACATGAATATTTATAAAATAATACACAGTAGTCTCTCCTCATCATTTCTTTTGGTTGTTCTGCTTCCACTCGCATAGTTTTTCTTTTTTTAATCCAATCATATTTCAACTAATAAGACCAAGGGTGTCAAACATATGGCCTGCGGGTCAAAACCATCCCACTGTGCGGTTCAACACAGCCTGCTTGATAAATTTTGAAAGTGAACCCTTCAAGTCAGAGATATTTTGTCAAATGATATTTAATTTAATATAAATATTTTCTAATATATTTGCACATATTTGCATGAAAACACCTGAATTAGATGTTTTGGTGAGTCTTTTTAATGATATTGCAAATGTATTATGTTATTATTGAAGCTTTTTGATGATTTTTTTTTTTTTGATGCATTGTACTGTTTTGTTTGTTGCTTTGGAATGGCAATTTTATGATTTCACATTTCTGCAGAATACTGATGGTTTCTAAGTTCAGGCAGGACACCACTGAAGGTCCAGGTGAGAAATACAGAGCACGTCACTTCAATGGGTCAGTGAGTGTGAAGTGTACACTGTGTCATCGTAGTTCACCAATTGATTTAGTGCACAGTGCACTGATTTAGTGCAGAGAATGCATTTTTTGTGTATTGAGGCCAAAGTAGACAACAGCTGCTGATATGCAGAATGTCAAACCTTTCTGTCTGAATCAGATTCGAGACCACACTGTAACTGTGATGACGACTCGGACAACCTAAACCAGACTTTAGATAGAACCTGCACCCCCAGCCACTTCAGGGAAAAGGCCATTCCTGATGGGAAATGCATTATTGATAGTTGATATAGAGAAAACATTGGTCTTCACCTCATTTAAAGTTACATTTGATATTTTACAAGAACAATACTATTGTTACGGTTTGTATTTTTCTAAAGAGATGAGAAGCCATTTGATTTGGATTTTTGATTGTAATTCTTCAGACCATAAGTGAATTCTATTTTTCACAAGTTTGATTTAACACATAGGTAGGGAAATAAGTAAAAGCTTACATTAGTGAATACAGTATTTTTACCTATAGTAAATATATGTCCACTGCTCAGACTAATACACACACACACACACTCTGTGATCCCTCAGGAATTCTATAAATACTATTATTCTGAAAATCCACATAAAGCTTTTTTACACTCCTGGATTTTCCTGGAATCATACTGATAACAAATGCTTTCAGGAGTCTCTCTGTGAATGTACAGCAGCCTGACAAAACACAACCCGATGACAAAAATACATTGAGCAAAAGCACAACTGGAATTCGTTTACCTCTGTGGAAAAGTGCCAAACACTGTTTAAAATTCCCTTCATTCAGAGGCAGTTCTATTCAAAAACAATAATAAAAAGTTGAAGAAAGTGTCAGTGCAATGCTTTTTATAGTTCGCAGAGATTTTGAATTTGTGTTTGCTGTTCCCGAGGCTGCAGATTGAGGACTGGGCTGATAGACTTGATGTTTTCAGCTGTACTACGCTGTATAAGGAGGTAAAGATTCTCTCTTCTGCTTTCTTCCAATTTTTTACCTCAAAATGTCATTAGTTTAATGAGAGAATAAAACTTACAATTACTTCTTAGATCTTGAATGGCAATAATTTGAGATTGTGTTAAAGCATAGCCCAAAAAGCTAGAAATGTGTATGTTGATTATGATGAAAAATTCCAGTTTTTTAGAGTTTAAAAAATAGATAGAGATAGAAGAATAGATAGATAAAGATAGAGATAAATGGCAACTGCAAACACAGCCAAGTGTTATCAGAATATATTCAGCAGCTTTACATCATGACTGTTTTTTGCATTTCATGTGTTGCATAAGGTTTGTTTTGATTAAATTTTTATCCACTTTCGAAATGTTTTCCACCTTAATCAGATGTAGCTGCCCATGTACTAGCATAGTTACTGTCACCTCTGCTCCTTACCGTGTCATTTAATCGACAGTGAGTGTAATTACTAAAGGGTTGCATCATAAAGCCTAATGAGAACTCGTATTAAGTCCTAATATGTGAGCAGCCATGCTAAAAAGGCTTCTAATGAGCTTTTGTAATGTCTACATAATCACAGGACAATGATATTAGTGTTTGTACACAAATTTAAAGCTTGTATTCCTTTAGCTGTGAGTGGTTCCTGAGGTTTGTAATTATTTATCATCAAACCACAAAGGCAGAACACAGTGGTTCATAATCTCATCTGTTCAGCTGTGGAGAACTTCTGTTCAGTCTCTCTTTGTGTTTATACAGAAAATAGAAACACTTGCAGCTACAAAAGTGTCCAAAAAAAAAAAAAAAGAAAAACTACCAAAGCTAGTCAACATTACTGCTAACTAGAGTTTGAACTAGAACTGTATTAGGTCTACAGTCAGAGATTTACCCAAAAGTTCAGGAAACTTGGGCACCCGCGAAAGACCTTCAGTCAGAGAGAAAAAAAGAAACAACAAAATGTGACAAATAAATCAAATATATTTAGAAACTGAAGCTACGACAACTCAACAAGGAAGAAAAGAGACAACCCAACTATTTCACACTGCTAAAGGGAGCTGCTAAGAAGTGCACATACTGAGAAAATTACACCAAAATGTTTTTTTTTGCCAATGTTTTAAAGTTACTCAAAGTGCTCAATGATATTGGTTGGTGCAGAAGGACATTTAGGACGCCTATTCTTGACATGGGTGTTGACACAAAACTTGTTTGGTTTGAAATTTGAAATCTATTAAAGCTAAAAACAAAACATTAAATAGATTCATTACCCTCGATCACTGTGATCCAGGCTATTACCATAGCAGTGACTGGGAGAGAAGACAGATAAATACAGATACAGATAAGAAAATGAAAAATGTGACAAAATCAAAAAGAACAAAAATGCTGAGAACTTATATGAGAAGGTAAAATAAACACAGTACAAACAATAACCACTACAGCAGAATGACACCGTTTTTAAAATTAGGGCTGGCTCGATACTATACTCAGGATTGGTTGGTCAAACTTAAGTCGGTGGGACATGCCATAAAGAGGAACACTATCACCTCAGCAACAGCAGTTTGTGGCATGCCGCAGGAGAAAAAAAAGTATTGGATTGATATTGTTAAGTTCCAGTATCAGTATCGGACATAAAAAAGTTCTATCGGGCCATCCCTATTTAAAATAAGACTAGGAAGCACACATTTAGAACTGCGGGCCATAGGTAGAAGGGGACTCACCTTCTCCAGCATTATACGCCAGGATGGAGCGAATCCTCATCTGCTTCCCCTCGATGGTCTTACTGGAGCAGGTCTGAGAGCAGGTGGACCAGGGGGTCCAGTCGCTGAGGACACAGTCCCTGGAGCAGGGAACCACACAGGGAATGGGTCCAGGAGGGGAAGACGAGGAGCAGAGGTTTTGGTCCACCACATCTCCTAAAGAAAAGAGAAGTTATCTTATTGATAAAGGGATGAGAGTCTGGACAGGAACTTTGACAAGGTCCAATCAACGTTGCACCTACAGAATTATCCAAACTCTGGTAGCAGGAAAGAGGCAGAACTGGAAGTCCAACAGAAACACTAGTGACAGGAACTTTGACAAGGTCCAATCAATGTTGCACCTACAGAAAAACTAGTAGACTTTATAAACATGAAGTTAACTATAATTTATAATATACTATAATATACAAGCTTTATTTTTCATCTGTTCTCTTTAGTTCCTTTACTGGACAGAAGATAAATTGTCACGGCAAACCCGCTGCTAATGCTGCTGCTACTGCCGTTGCTGCCTGTATTTTAAGAAAAAGCCTCCTCCTCTCCTCACTTTTCCTCTCCTCTTTTCTTCTCCTTGCTCCTCTCTCCTGAGTTTTCATGGAGAGGACAGGCGGAAAAGACTTTTTGAGAAAACAGACACGTCTCTGCGATTTGAAACGGGCTGTGTGCTCGACACTGTGCTATCAATTAAGACACACAGCTGCTCATTTTCCAGCTGCTCCGTCTGTGCACGCGTCCAACCCGAGTGTGACGGTGATAATTTGATTTCTCCAACGGCTCTGTCAGTCTTTTCACTTCATACTCATCCCTACATTTACTGCCTGGTGCGTCTGACATAAAAAAGTTCATATAATAAGTGAACCAACACAAACTTGAACAATTATCGACTTTTTTCTCACATAATAGTTTTAATTTCTCATCACAACATCTCTGCGTGCTGAGACGCTTCATTTTTGACAGTTTGAGTATTTGTTAGACTAAATTCATTATTATTATAATTATTAGTATTAAGTATTCACAGTAATATCCTTATCCCCACAGTATGAGCGAGTAAAAAAAAGCAACGAATACAATTAACCTTCATTGTATTCGTTGCTTTTTTATTATATAATAATTATACAATAAAGGAACAACTGAGAGATACAATTATTATTTAAAGTGTCAATTCAAATGGGAATGACCAATAAAAGAGAACATGAGACGAGCTCCAGTTTGTCTCTAAACGTTACTCACCAACTCTGCGCACACAAATGTTCTGGAATATTCTGGAATATAAGGTGCTGACCAATAAATAGAAACCATTCCTTCATTTTAAACAATACATATACGGAGTTCGGTGCGACGTAACTCAATTCCATCTCAGGTCGGAACTCGTATACAGTACATAAATCACTCACCTACGCTAACACAGTGGTAACAGCATAGTTTTGGACATAAAGACATCAGAAGAGTCTGACTTACGCCTGGGAGCCATAACGAAGGGCAAAAAGTTCCCCAAAAAAACAACACAAAAGAAAGAAAATGAGTGAAGCGCTGTCCAATATATCGCGAGAACCGTCGAATGTAAACAAAAACGTCTTCCGTGTATAACGCAGAGTGAAAACGTATTCGTCCACATGTCGTAACGCAGTTTCAGCAGATGTTTCTGGCCTTAATCTGACACACAGGGAGTTCTCTTGACAAACTAATTTTACAGATTGAGTGAATGCAATTTAGATAACTGCACATTGTTTAAAAATGAGGTTTGTAAAAAAAAGTTTGACTTAATAGCTTTCTTAAAAGCAATATTTTAGTTTGATTTAACCTTTTACTGTAGCTGCAGAAATTATTCAACACAATTCACATGCAGGGTTTTACTTTGCCTGGACAGCTCATTATGACTATATGTTATGGGCTACAAAAATTAATATGGATGAACTGTTGACTCAGGCCTTACTGAAGGTGTTTGGTATGCACTTAGCAAATTCATATGGGAGTCCCGCATTTCTCATGTTTCATTAATGATCTCCTATAGATTCAGCGTAAAGTGGGTTCAATTAACCCACATACTCCTTATGTTTGCTTCATGTGCTTCCATGAACCAGATAAACAGTGGGCGTTTTCTTTGCAGAAAAAAAAACATATACAATTTTAATCCTTCCAATTGAAATTTCAGACAGCACAGAATCGCTGAAGCTTTAAAAGTCACACTCAGCCGGACTGTGCATTAAGATGTCAGTTTTGGCAGTTCTGCAGTGAATCAATCACAAAAGAACTGGAGATGAATAAAAAATAGAATTTGACAAGCTGAAACAGGAGAAAATGGGGAAAAAAAGGGAGCAAAGAAATATGAAAGTGATGGTGGAAATGAAGATAAAACACTGTTGTCCTCCTCAGTGAAGAAAAACCTAATGTCCTCCTGATATACTAGACACAGGAGCCATGATAACTAAAAACAATCATTTGATAAATGTCTAAATTAAGCATAGTATGATCTTTTGAAAATAGGGATTCCCAACGCGTGGTGGGGTGTGCGAGCTGCCACTAGGGGGATATGATTTATACCTGTGTTCTGGTCATTTGAGCATAATTAGCTTGTTCCGTTTTTTGGGGGTGGGGTGGGTGGGTGGTGTTTGGAGATATAGAAGGAGGTGCACGGCCAAAAAAAAACAACAACTGGGAAGCACTGCTCTAAAAGATTATAGAGCAGCAGGACCAGGGAAAACATAAGGTGGGTTAAAACTTTATTCTTCAACTGCTGACAGTACTTCACACAGAGAACCAAAGCGTGCCTTTTATGGGAACACAAAACCCACGCCTCCAACTAATAGTCCTGCAGGATGAGAGGGAAACCCACAAGTGTCGGCCACAATAGTACTGTTTATAGTACTCTGTGATCTTTATACAGTAATTAAAATGCTATTTCTGCTTAGGGTAGCCTAAAATAACCCCTTTGATGTTGTCCTAGATACATTTACTCTAATCTATGACCTCGCAATTAATTCTAATTCTGCAAACAGAGGTTTCAGTAATAACAATAACAACAATAATAACACCAGTCATAAATCATAGTTCAAATGGGCAAATTGAAAGGATGGATTTCAAATTAAATTCCACCAATAAATTATATTAGCCCTAATTTTAGTGCTCAAGAGATAATAATTGGTTCTTTGGACTGGAAGAAAAACCTAGGCAATAAACTAAATAAAGTAATTTGCCAATTTTTGCAGGTTAACATTTCAACAATGCACAATATAAAAGTCAAGAAAATTATAATCAAACCTGTGTTTGTGAGGTTAGAATTTACATACTGGTGAAACTGGCACCTGAGCTCTGTATGTGAGCATCTGACTAAAATATCTGCAGCTGTAAGATCATGTATGCAAGTTAAAACACGTCTGAACAATACGTCCACGAGGACACAACGGAGTCTCAATGTGCCAAATAAGCCTACGAAATCCAACATCCTCAACTGCCGAGAACTGTTGATAATCTAAGGCAATGAATTCCATTATATTTTCCGTAAACCCCTTGGCCTTGGCACAGTCCCATAAAACTTTCATGGCTTTTCAAAAATATCTGGTACAGACAGAGTGGATGTGCTGGAAGGGACTGTACTAGACCTGGTCTTCTCATAATCAGCATAGCGATCAGGATGTTTTGATTTTAAAAGGAAAATGAATCCCAAGTTTTTTCTTTAGCGATGTCAGCATTATTTGATTTACAAATGGATAGTTGTAACTTATGAGGCTTTGACCCACGCAAGTGTGTGTAGCTGCAGATTTTACTTGCATCATCCAAACACTATATGGCTGTCAAGTTGTTTTAATGTGGCCTTAGCTAAGGGTACTGCTGCTAACAACAGTGGTGGTAGGAGCAG